TTCAGCATGGTGTCCCGAGGTCCGGTGGCAACCCCGCGCTTGGAGATAATAAAGTCCTCACCTCGTCAGAAGCGTCTGCGTCCCCCCTCCCGCCCATTTCCCCCGAGGGCTAATCTGGTCAGGATAAGGGATCAAAAGGAGAAACAATTAGCAAATGGAAGAATTTAATGATGCTAATTAAAATGTATTAAGTGTAGCCACTGCCTCTGCACCAGCTGCTTTGGCAGGAGCCCGGGGCCCGCGGCCCCCCAGCCGTACCCCGGTGCGGAGCGGGGAAGCAGGACATCTGGTGCGCCCTCCCCCCGGCCCCTCGCAAAAAAGCAGGTTCGAGGAAACCTTAGCTTCATTTGCTGCTGCTCGCTGGATTCGTGGCGGAGCCCCTAATTAGCTCCATCTCTGCAGGAGACCCCTGGGACCTCATTAGGCATTTCAATTAGTGAATAGCCAGAGCTGCGGAGGGAGGGGGGCGAGGGCCGTTTGATCAAGATGGCTGCAATTAAGCAAGCGGACGGAGGTGACAGAAGTAACCCCGCTTCCAAAAAAAAGCGGGGAAAGCACCGAGCTGGCTCCCAGATGCTACCCGCGCTCCAGAGCAAGCTCTCCCAGAAGTTTGCTCTTGACAAGCTCCTAACGAGATGCTCGCCAGCTCCCAGCAGTAAAACCCCCACGAGAGCTGCAGCGAATTTAGGGCTGGGCTCGTCACAAAAATGGCACCCTTTAATCGAGGTTTTAAACCGTTTCTTACTGTACATCACGTTTCTGGACAGGGACAGATGCACAGGCGCATCCTCCCCTCTCCCGGTGCCGTTCCTGGTGCCGCCGATCCGCCAGGACGCAGCCCAGCTCCCCGGCCACCCCACGCGCAGCTCTGCCGTAGTTGCTCACCCAGGGTATTCCCAGCCCGGAGACATCAGGCACTTCTTGAACTTCATTTCACTGGGAATGGGTGGCAATGATGGTGAACGGGTATCTCCCAAGGGCGCGTTCCCAATTCCAGCTTCATCATTCACCCGGCTGCTCCCGGCTCTCCCACCCGGCCGTACCTCCTGCTGCCTCTCGGCACTTTCTACGTGCACCTCCACTGCTGGAGATGACGGCAAACCCCAGACGAGCAGGTCCGCCTCACCCATCTCCGCGCAGCCGGGGCTTAGCCCCCCGCGGTGTTCGTACCATCCTGACCTGTGTGTGCAAACGGCAACACCTGCCGCAGCTGGGAGAGCACCGGGGACCCCGCCATTGGCACGACGTCCCCCGTCCCAGCTGTTTCGTGCCTCTCAGCTAAGGCAGAATCCGGCTGTCCCACCTCTCCCTGCTCTTTACACCATGCTATCCCTTCCTTCTGCTGCCAGCTCTCCGTGGGACATCATTTCATTCCCTCCCTGACCTTTTCCCCTTCGTTGCATGTGGTTGGGATGCACCCTATGGAAAATAAGTCATCTACAGAGCAGGACCAGGGAGCGTGCAGTGGCAAACGCCTCATTTTCTCAGGGGACCAAGGGAAAAAGTCAGGAATCTTTGGCCACAAAATTGGTTTTGTGTTGCAAGTTTGAAAAGTGAATTCTTGTAACTGGGAGATGCTGCTGGAGAGCTCCCCAGGACCTCCACGCATGGCTCTCCTCTGCATCCTGGGCTGCCTGGCTCAGTTTCAGCTCCCAGGCCTGAGGATAAGTTAAACATTGCGAGGAATATCGTCTAAAACTTGTCCAAAAAAGAGGAGAGGGGCTACAACAGCCTTGCCACAACAGCCCAAACTGAAGCACACTGGATATTCGGGTTTTTCTGCAAGACAGACGAACCCCAGAATTTGCCCCTTATTGAAGCACCTCCCAGAGGCCAAAGAAAACCCTGCTGAGGGATCCGTCTTCTATTGATGAGCAGCCTGAATGCAACCTTTTCACCTCGCCATCTGCAAGCACGAAGGACGTACAGGTACCGCGATCAGCCTGCGTCCACTGAGATAGCCTCAGCGTGTCCGTTGCAGAGCGGAGCAACGCGTAACCGGCCTCGCCCTCTTCTCCGGGAGGAGCGAAGCCAAGGGGGCTTTGGTGGCCAGTTGCTTCTCTTCTAGCAGGGGATAATCCCCGCCTATCTCAGTTGAGGAGCACTGCGAAAGCATCGGAACAGATGTTCCTTTTCTGTATGGGAAAATGCCGAGTAAAACAAAGAAATATTCTTGCTG